GGTTAAATTTCCCCCCCCCCCCCCCCCCACCCCCCCCCCCCCCCCCCCCCCCCCCCCCCCCCTCCTCCTCCTCCTCCTCCTCCCTCCCACCGATAAACATACATCGCATTGGTGTTCCATTGCAATTCCTCGACGAGATCCAATGCGGAATGAACAATGAACTGATTCAGGTGTCTATGCTCGTCTTTCTGTAAGGAAAAAAGAGAAAACACTTTCAACACTTTCGGCTATACGAGATCACTGTTGACCAATAACCTTCGAGGTGATGTCAAAGCTACCAACCTTTGTTCCCGAAGTACCAAATTCTAACTCATAGATCGGGTTGTCCTTGGTACCAACTATCGCGAAGTAATAAGACATTTGTCGAGAGAAGCGGTGATGAATGTAGATAACGATGTAATCCACGTTCCCCATAATAATCCGAATAAATCGATTGGTAAACCCACGGTTGCACAAATTTCTACTTACCTTAATTGATCATTTTAAAATGCCCCACAAATTTTATACTTTTTCTCGAAACTGGCAGAGGGTGATACAGACTTAAGGAATCTGCTGCGTAATTTATTAGTCGTGTGAGGCTAAAATTTTCCCAGGGTTACCAAAAGTCCTCCTTTGGAAATTGTCCTCGGTGTTCTTATTAAGTCCGTCCGCCCTTCTTCTGCCAATTTTCATATTATCCATTTCCCCTCTTCTCGCCCTGTGCTTCGTTCATTGTCGTTACTTTTCTTGTTTACGATCATACTGATTTATTTCCCAAACGTCTTACACATTATACCTCCTTTATCTTACGACTTATAGAGGACATTTTATTAATTCTCCTCTCCGATAACGGTATCACATTTATTTATACCTCCTCTCTCCGATACTCGGCCTTTACCTTGCAGGCCTAGCTGACGCTGCATTCTTTTCCCTTGCGTAAATCTCCACCGAAAATAACTTCGTTGCTTTTCTTGATCGTCTTTTTTACGCGCATTCCACAAACTCCCGGCGACAAAAACTACTGAACATTGAAAGCACACTGCCGTGGGAACACCCTCTGACGACATTATTGATTTAGCGTTTGCAAAACGACCATTTTCACATTTTACCCCCCTTCGGTGAAACTCTCCTCATGTCTCAACTTGCCCCAACAATACCTTCCTTCACCGACCTCGGCGCTACTCGCCAAGAAACAACCACCACCGAAAAAATACCCATGGTCGTCAGTCAGCGACACAAACCCGCCACGTCAAAAAAGAGGACTTCCAAGCAAGAAGACTCCGACGACTATGAAGGGAACTTAAATGAACCGGTGGCTTACCGTCCGCACCTCGTAACCAATACGAAAATCAGGAGGACGAAATACTCTACTTCCCTGGATTCTCGTGGTTACATTCCTGGTAAGTACTTCTTTGCGACTTTGCTGCGCTCACCTCGAGAATGTCCGGAAAAAATTCTTGAACAACTACTAACATTCGACCCTCCCCTCTCACTTACCCACCGAACTCCCACCATGTCTCCCCCAGTATATGAATTCACCATCAATGAACAACCGATAATGTGGGATCGAGAAAATGGCTATGTCCATTTCACAGGAATCTGGAAAGCCCTCGGGAATAATAAAGCCGACATCGCCAGACTAGTGGACACACACCCCGATCTGGCCTCGACAATCAAGAAAGTCAGAGGAGGATTTCTGAAAATCCAAGGAACCTGGTTTGTGACCCGCTCACTCAACTTTATACCAGAAACGTCGAAATGTTTAAATTTCCGATAATCATTTAGCTAACTCGTCGTTCTTTAGGATGCCTCATGACAAAGCACATGAGCTTTGCCGCCGGACGTGTTATCATGTTCGTGAGGAGCTAATACCTTTATTTGGACCATCTTTTCCCTCGCAAGCTTTGGATCCGACGCAACCGGGGTTCGGTCGACTTACTCTCTCTGATTCAGTACCAACGAAGAAAAGGCAAAGGCGTAAGCCCAAAGAAACGCGTGTAATGGACAACATGCCTCCCACAAGTAAAGGGAAGACCAAGGCTATCAACATGTTGGCGTCTCCGATGGAAGAAATCAGCGAGAATTCTCACGACGTCATAATGCAGGAGGTTCAAGGAGATGACGGTCGCCCTTTCGATCATTACCATCAAAACGTGGATGGCCAAGACCCCGAGAATAATCATCGTCATTTGGTGATCTTCCGTAAACAAAAACGCCCCATCGAAGACACTCGTCATATTGAAGAGATGGTTGCGGATGGGAAGATGTCCAAACGGAGGAGACAAAATTCGCCGGAGAATGGTAGCCTCGGCGACGATGAGAATTCCTCTACCGATGGGGAGTACACCAATTCGCGAATTAGTCGCCGTGGATCAGATTCCGCATATTCCAGTTCCTCACAACGTTGCGATCAACATCACCAATTTTCACCTGTCGACAAGTTAGCGGAAAGTCAATGCGAATATCAACATTCACCCTATTTCCGTCCCTCCCCTATCCTCCCCGATTCTCCAGTCAGCAATCAGGCATCGACGCTTAACGCCTACACACCATATCCTCCCCCCACCATACATCCTTCACCTCTTCATCAACCCCCCTCACCTCTGACCGAACATGATCTCTACGAAGCAATTAATGCTACCGTTGCATTGCAACAATTATCGCAAGATAATGGCACCCGCCCTTTACAAAAAGATCAAATATCAAATGCATGGCCTAGAAATTTTATCATGGGAAATCGGGAATTCCAATTTATCGGATGTCGATATCGTGTTGTTCGCTATTGGTAAATCACATTTAGTAGTTTTCACTGGCAGTGATGTGGACGGAGTGGCTGAGGACATTTTACTGTAAATAGCTTATTTCCCAAGAAGGGACAGAAAATTCTCGTGTATTTGGTCACGATTCTTATCATTCAAGAAGTACCTTATATACAAACAAAAATGTTATTCTTTTCTTTTTCTTTTTCTTTTTCTTTTCTCAGGACAATTGTATCACGTTTCTTTATCTGTACCAATTTTATCTGTATATTTCCGCTACTTCAATTTCAACTTATGATTTATTAATTGTATATATATTGTTTGTAAACTTGTAGATACTAGTTGCTATCCCTCACATTCTCTTATTGTCATTTTTCTTTTCCCTTTATTTTTTTTTTCTATATATGCATTATCGTTATCCTTCATTAAGTAATAGTGGAGAACATTTGTTATCGCCAACTGTATCACTTTGTATTATCAAATATTTTGTATATATAACGGACTTTAAATTCTCTTTAATAACCCGACCGAGTGTCTCGCCTCATTTTAAGTGCACGCGATATTTGGGTGATCTGTCACTCAAAACACGATGAAAAAAAAAAAGAAAAAAAAATAAGCTAATGCGTCGTGATGTAATATGTCGATCGATACTCGTGTCGCATAATCAAAAATTACTCATTTTTCAATTACTATTGTAAACGTACTTGCAATGGCAATATACAGAAAAGACGAATTGCATTCGCGCGAAGACTACCGATATCCGTGATTACATTGCACTTTTTTTTTTTTTTACTAAGCCCGGCCAACTCTCTTTATTCAAATAAATAAATAAAAGATACAATATAATATGTAAATAGATCTGGCCGCTATTGAATAACGCTTATTATTATTATTATACAACAAATAGGTCTGTTGATTGACAACCAGCAATCACAAAAAAAAAAAAAACAAATATACAAATTTCGGCCTCTGGAACACACACACACACCTCTTGTCGCCCGATTGCTCGAATGAGATCTTTCCATTGCAAGAGGATCGTGACAAAGAAAGATGGTGCACAATGTCAACAAACCTTGGTGCAAACAAAAATGTCTTTTTTTTTTCCTCTCTTGCGCAATGTGGTTAGTCCCATATTTTATAATTCATCATCACTCGGTCAACTTTGATTAATTTTTTGGTAGCATCCAACCCTTGATCGGTGGCGGTGATCGTGGATCCTGCCAATACCAATTTCTCCAAGGAGCCTTTTTGCTCGACGTACTCCCTGATCACCGCAAGATTTTCGTCGTTCATACCTATTCCTTTGATATCAGCCGTCCCGATGCCTAAAGTCAAACTTTTCAGGGTGCATCTTTCAAATAATGCTCGCAAACCATCGGGATCACATATGAGATCAATCTCCAGGTGAAGTAGTGAAGGGGGGAGCGACTCGCTCAATTCCTGTAAAATCTCACTGGGGGGACCGAGATTCATCCAAGAAGTGTGCAACTGAAGGCGCTCAAGTTTGGAACAATTACTAAACGTGTTCATTAAGCTCGCCCTTATCTCGTCTCCCACGTGTGATAAACAGATCCTTCCGTGCAGTTGAATCTCTTTCAAAGTCTCTTCGCAGTTTGATATAATTGTCGAAATTGTATCAGGTGAGGCCATCGTATTCCAAAAACCCAGTCTACGCAGGCGGCGGAATTTTGATGATAGTGGTCTCCTTGAATTATTTGGGAGGGTGCAACCAAAGATTAAAAGGGTCTGCACATTTGACACTGATTCTATAATGTCTTCAACGGTGACGTTTGAAAAATTTTTGATATATTGGAGTTTGACCCAACTTAACGAGTTTAATTGACTCTTCAATGACGATATGACAGATAACAGCCCGTATCTTGCGGAGTTATCGCTTGTTTCAATGGACAATGTCACCCTTTTTAATCCTCGTTGCATCGAAATAAAGTTGCTTAATGAACTCGATCGTTGCGATTCCGCGAAACTATCACTAAAAGGTAAAGAATATACATCCAAAGATTTAATGGAATCACAATATCCTAATATTTCTGGGAGAATATCTTTATTCATGTTGCGAGCATTTATCGTGAACTCATCGAGCTGTGAGAACGCCTCTCGCGCCCCTGGCAAGTTGACTATAGAAAGATAGTCATTTGGAATGTTCCAAAACAACATTCTTGACATATTTAAACTTTTTAAAGGTCCGCAGCCCGAAAAAAATTGGCTGCACATCTCTTGCATGACAGAGAGAATGCGACGAGTCTTCTCTAATTCATTATTACTTTGTTCACTGCTGCCTTCTTCGTCACTCTCACTATCCTCCTCGTCAACGGTTCTCTCCCTTTCGATAATATTCTTCTCTTTTTCGACCTTTCCATTCTTATTGACCCATTGCGATACAGAAGCGTAAACGTATTCAGAATTCAATTCCCTCAACATTGATATGTAATTGAATGTCAAAGGTTTTGTCAATAAGTCGGATGTGTCAACCCCAGACTGTGCGATTCTTTCCTTCGCATCCTGGGCAAAACCAGAAATGTAAACAGAGATTAACTCGGACGAGGTTCTGTTGAGAAGATGAAAAGGTCTACTCCATAGGATCGAAACAACATTTCGACACCAAGTGCGATTCACCCGTAGACAATTGTATAACGGAAATGCGAGATTGGTCCTCTCTTCAGTCTCCTGAACGACATACTCAAAGATGTCTCGCAGGTTTTCTGGGGGAAGGGAAGAAATCATTGTCTCAGAAGAGGTGAGATAAATTAGAAATTGACTATTGTCTATGTACTGTGGCGTTTGGGACGATTACGCATTGCAATCACGGGCGCGACGTTTACAATTTAACTTACCTAACCTACGATGACCGAATTAAAATCAAAATTTAGGTATGCTTTATTAAATCAAAGTATGCTATGCATACTGTATACAGTATATAATTTGTTGCTTTATCTATACTGTATATAACTCAGATAAATACTCTTCTAAACATTATAGCATATAGATTATTACTACAATTGTAAAATAATTTTTCTTTTATTGATAAATAAATAAATTTATTGTTTTATAAATCAAATAAATACATAAGTACATTTTCATTCAAATAATATAATATACTGTATATTATAGTTAAGCTTTCTTATTCAAATTTAACTAACTTGTTATAAGCAATAATAGTCTTTAAGTTGGATTTTAAAAACAAGATTTTACTCAATAATAGATTTTTGAATAAAGATTCACTAGTTACAAAAAAATTATTTAATATATTGTCACTTATATAACATTTATCAAAAAATAAATAATTTATTGAATTAATGATATAAAAAATTAGCAATAATTAATTATTAACAACAAATATTATAAAAAAATTGATATATTCACTAGTTGAAATTATGCCATTTGACAGTTGAATTATTATTGAATTTAATTAAATTTAATAAATTTATTAATTAAAAGTTTAACTATAAATTGTCAAAAAATTCATTAATAATTTGTCAAATAATTCATTAACTATTTAGCAAAAATTCATTAAAAGTTTGTTACAAAATTACTTATTAGCAATTCAATAAAAATTCTACATTAATTTATTAATAATTTGTCAAAAATTTATCAACTATTCATTAAAAATTCAACAATTATTCATCAAAACTATTCATTAAATATTTGTCAACTATTCATTAAAAATTCAAAACTATTTATCAAAACTATTTCTTAAAAGTTTATTGACCATTCATTAAAAAGTTGATAACTATTTATTTATTATTTAACAAAA